AGAGTCAAAATTATTCAAAATTTTTACCCGTTGTGGGGGAAGTACTTCATGGAGAGGGCTAATAATGCTAAAAATTGGATGATCTTTCCTTGATGTATGAGGTAAATAATTTTCTTTGAAACTTTTGACCTTTAGTGGGGGAGGTAACAGAAGGAGCGGATCGATATTACCCAACTCCAAACTCGATCTAAGTTTGGTAATATTATTACGATTTAGCAAGTTTGGACCAACTCGGACACAACCTTCGACAGTTATCCTCGAAACTGCCTCCAAATGTCCTAAAATGGATGTAGTCCAAAGGAACATAGGGTCTAAAACCGTCATTTCGTCATATATATCCTTTGTAGCAATATTCTTGAGGGAGTAATAAGAAACGGGTTATCTCAAATTGTTTCTTTTAAACGTCTGGTTAATTTATCGTTCAAGGTAAGAATCTTGCCAACTTCAGCTATGTGTTTGTATTTTTCAAACGAGGTATGGAATTATTAATAAATTTACCAAAATTTACAAAAAAATCAGATTTGATTTCAAAATAGACCAGTGATACAAATTTGGCCAAAAAAAAAAAATAACTCTAGGGAGATGAATTCTGGTCAGAGAATTGAGCAATTTAAATTAGTATATTAAGTTATTGAATTAACATTTACTAGGTGGCGCCCAACGTAAAATGTAGAAATTAATTTTAAGATTTTAAAAATTTAAATTAAAAAAAAAAGAAATTTATCGAATATTATCAAAAGTTACAAATATCTCAGGTTCGACTCCAGATCATTGTTACGATAGAGATTTAAAAATGTATAGGATACAAAAATTGGTGTCCTCACGCTGACGCCCAACGTAGCAACATACCAGAATAAAGAAATATAAACTAAAAACAAGTAAAAAGCTAATTTTACGACGACCGGGCCTAACTTTAAATACCTTGCACTACTCGGATCGAATTTGGCAATTTTTTAAAAAAATAAAATCCGTTAAAAATTCTGTTAAAATCTTAAAAATACCAAATGTAGTCGTCATATTAGGGACTATAGGACGACGTGGACCTGCATCATCAATCATCAAAGTACCGAATATAGGGAAGTACTTTTATATGGGACTATACCAAAACGCAATTTTCTGTCATAGGCTGTAGTATCTATTGAGAACTTCTAATAACAAATTTGAAACAATTCCGGTGAAAAATATCGCTAAAATCACCAAAATACCGATTATCGGGAGGTACTGTTATATAGGGTCTATACGAAGACGTGGACCTGCACATATACTTTTCTGTCTTAGGCTGTAGTATCCATTAGGAGCTTCAACTGCCAAATTTGAAACAATTCCGGTGATTAATGTCCCTAAAATCATCAAAATACCGAGCATCGGGAGGTACCGTTGTATGGGGCCTATACGAAGATGTGAACCTGCATACGAAAATTTTTGCCATAGGTTGTAGTATCCATCAAGATCTTCCAATACGAGAATTGAAACGATTCCGGTGAATATTGTTAATGAAATCATCAAAATACCGAATATCGGGAGCTACTGTTATATGGGGGCTATACGAAGACGTAGACCTCCATACGAATATTTCTGCCATAGGCTGTAGTACCCATTACGAACTACAAATACCAAATCCGAAAAACGGAGGTACCATTATACGGGGGCTACACCAAAAACGAGGACCTACATGACCCATTTCCAATACCAAAAGTCCTGCAGACATAATACACATACTATAGTGGAGGGTATAAAAATTGTAAATGTTTTATTGTTTTTTTTATTATGTTTTATTATGATAATGTAAAACATTTTCAGCCAATGATACGATTTCGGCCACAAAAACCGAAGAGGTTACCAATTTTCCCTATATGTACTCTAGGGACATAAATGAACGTTCCCATTGAATAATGGAAATTAGGATATTAAGTTATTGAATTAAAATTTTAATTTATTTGGTTTCTAGATGGCGCCCAACGTAAAATGTAGAAGTATATCTAAGATATTAAAAATTTAAATTAAAAAAAAATAAATGTATAGGACACAAGAGTTGGTGTCCTCACGATGGCGCCCAACGTAGCAACATACCAAAACAAAGATACATATATGAATTAAAAAATTAAAAATAAAATCTTGAAGTTAGAGAAAGAAAGGTTTAAAGGTTTAACAATATATCAGGAAGGATTCTGGAACATATGCATCAAATTTTTAAGACACTAGGGCTGTTGGACTTATGCAGCGTAATGGGTTGACAAAATAGAATATTTAAGTATAAAATAATAATAAAAAAAAAATAATAAAAATAATCTGATATTTTAGAGTGAAATTTATCGAAAATCATATGAAGAATTCCGAAACAGGGCTATAAAGATTCGGAAATTTATCGAAAATCATATGAAGAATTCCGAAACAGGGCTATAAAGATTCGGAAATTTATACGACGCACGAATTGCAGGTAATTTTAATTTCTCAATACTGATTTTGAGTCACTCAGTAGGTTTTAGTAGAGCGAATGATCTACCCCCTGCATAGCAAATGCCTTCCATAAATCTTTGGGTAGGGGAGACATGACATCCCAACTCCTTTGCTTCATTATTATGTTGAAAATATTTTACCCAAAAAACATATCCCTTAATCGTCATCGAAACAAATTATGTTTGCACAGCGGGTTGTACAAGAACTTTTCCAAATTATGTTTACCACAAAGATGCGTCAGTGGCCAGACATGTATCCCGTTGTTCTGTTTACATCCTGCATGCCATTAAAAAGCCAAGAACAGAACATATAAATTTCTTGTTTGGTCCTTAGCAAACATGACGAGTTTTACAAAAAAAAAAAAAAAAAAAAATACTAACATAAATGGTGTTCCAAAAATTGTTATTTATTTATCTAACAACATCCTCCCGGCAGATCCTGTTTGAATGGCGTTTTAAATATTTTTTTCCCTGTGGAAGACACAGCCACTGAACTGACTGAAATACAGCTGCAAATATAAAACTTGAAATATTTAATGTTATCGCCACGTGTGCGTCCTTGATTTTATTACTTCTTTTTCTCTCCCTAATCTCTTGTTCTCTAATGGAGGCCGACATATATTTTTATTAACCCTGTCTTTTACTTCTATAGGCTTGACAGAATTGCGCATCTTTATATTCGGCGTATTGCCATCAGGTCGTAAATAAGCTCATAAATGCAGATTTTTTTGTGGCTGTCTATGAAAAGCAATGATTGAAATCTATGTTTGAGGGGAAGTAAATCACGAAAATGTTACAACGATACACAGTTAACAAATTATGTGAATAAAACCTTCCAGGCATTCGTTGAGCCTTTCATAGTAAGAATGAAAGCTGAAGGGGTTAAATTGGATTTGACAATGAAAAAGATTGGTCAACGCTAGAGAAATAAGCGATAAGGGCTAGAGAAATAAGCAATTGACCAACTGTACGTCAACAAGTAATGAGTTAGTATTTACTTAACTGATAACAAGTAATGTGCTTTAAAATCATAAATACGGCACTTGGAAGTATAAAGGGCGAGATAAAAAAAACTGCAACAAAGCCAAATGCCATAATTTTTACATTTTTTAATATTTTATTGAATGAGAGCAAAAAATGTCGGAAATAGCATCAAATTTTAGAATAAGTTTAGATTTGTTTGAATTGGTCGCCTTTGGCACGAATTATGGCCTTCAAACGGCCAATGAAACCGTGCCCAAATGTTACTTTGCGGTATTTTGTCCATTCCCGGCGAAGCGCTTTCTTGGGGGGATCAACACTTTGGCATTTTTTAGTGCCAACCTTGCTTTCCGAAATACTCCAGACACAAGAGTCCAACGGATCGGTATCCGGAGATTTTGGTGTCCATTGTGCGCTGGAAATGAAGCGAGGAACCTCATTTTGTAACCATTCTTGGGTGGTGCTGAGTGCGATGGTGGTCTGCGGCCAAAATGTTTGCATGCCCAAGACTTTAATACGACCTCCAGAATATTTTCGCGATAATGTTCGGCATTTATTCTGATCATTTTGTTTGTTTACAAACTGCTGGACAACGAAATATTTCTCATCGAAGAAAACTAAATTCGGCAGTTCACCACTTTCGGACAAGCAAAGCAACTCTTTAGCTCTTCTGAGTCTATTTTCTTTCTGTTGAGGTGTAAGTGCTTGCACTTTTTGGAATTTCAATGGCTTCATCCCGAGCCTATTTTTCAATATTTGCCGAACGGCCACTGCGACGCGGGTTTCGATCAAGTCGCTTCTTTACTTTTCGAACCATTTCTGCTGATGTTGCTGTTTTCTTCCGTCCACTTCCTTGACGTCGGGCTACACTACCAGTATCACGGTAATGACCGATGGTACGAGACACAAAAGATTTATTCACATTTAAATGCTGGAGTTCTCTAACCATAGCCACTTGTGGTTTTCCAACCAAATATAAAGAAATCGCACTATCCCGCTTGAATTCCAATACGAATAACGTTTTTTTCTGGGAAATTCTCACCAAAATGCTTTTGTACTCTTGTAAACAATATAATGAGCTGTCAGTGGAATAATTTTAACAGCGGTCGGACGTGTGACTTAGAAATGACAACAGTCTGAAGTTGGTTGCAGTTTTTTCATATCAACCTGTAATGTTCTTTAAAATCATAAAAACGGCACTTGAAAGTACATGTCCAACTATAAAATGAAGGGTCATAATTTGAAAAACCTAGTTGACGAGCAAAATGTGACAATCAAAGGTGTTTTGTGTTCTTTCCAACTAATATCCACATTGCTTGCTGGGTTACCTCAATTCTTTATTGTTTCCCTAACATTATTTGGTTAATAATCTCATGTTCAAAATTTTCTTTTTTTATAAGAAATATTGAGATGTTTGACGTCGTGTATTACATGCATATATTTTGTGAGGCTTTCTAAAAGTTCATCCCTTGTTCTTTTCACTGACTTTGATTTTTCTTTCAATTCTATGTGTTTTTTTTTTCTCAGCTTATTAACAGTTAATGTTTCTGACATTGTACTTACCTTATCTTCAGCTTCTTCGGCTCGTTCCTCGGCTTCTATCACACGTTGTTCCAACTCCAGCAGCTGTAATTCATGCGGCACGACAAGGCATTGTTAGAAAGGAGCATAGGAAAGGAAAAAAGAAAGAAAGAAAAGTTCAATGTTAATGATGACTGATATTCATTGTTAAGTCGCTAGGCAGTCATGTGGAAAGTTAAGATAAAATGGTTAATAAAGGAAGCAAAATATGATTTGTTGAGGGTATTTTTTTTTTAATATGAGGAAGGAAAAAATAAATAAAGAAATTATTTTTTATTGTATTTAATGAGAAAGGCCTTTTATTGAAAAAAATCTGGTTTTATTTTTTAATCATACAAAAAAATATCTATCCTCTTACAGAAAAATTTGAAAAATTAGAGGAATCTCAACAAAATTAGAGGGCTCAGAAATGAAACCTAATCCTTATAGAAAAATCTTGTGTAAGCATTGAGGCATTTTTTTTTTCTATAGAAAAAATGATATTCAAACTAAGACGTTTTTTCTATAGAAAATAACTGAGGCCTTTGTGAGGAGACATTTCTCTATAAAAAAATATCAGTGGCCTGAGTTCTGAAGCATTTATTCATAGAGGCACTCTTGATCTATTTGAAAAAATCAGTACCAAGGCATTTTTTCCAATTAAAAAAATAATGTTTCAATAATTATGCATTCTATAACATTAAAAAGTCTGAGGCCTTTCAATAAAAGGAAGGTCTGAGGAATTTCAATAAAAAAATTCAATAAAAAATTGGAGGCCTGATGACACTTAGGCAATAGCAAAAAATAGCTGGTCTCAGTGGTAAAGAATTTTTTGCTATAGAAAAAAACCGAGGAATTTTTCTCTAGAAAAAACGTATGAATTTAATTCTAAGGCATTTTTATAAAGGAAAAAATCGGTGGTATGTGTACTGAGGCATTTTTTATATAAAAAAACCTGGCTGCCCTCAGTTCTACAGCCATATGGCTACAGAGGGTATACAGGGAGAGATAAAAAAAAACTGCAACAAAGTCAAACGCCATAATTTTTACCTTTTTCTTTAATTTTTATTGAATGAAAGCAAGCATGTAAAAAAGCTGTAAGTTCGGCCGGCCCGATCTTGGTATACCCTCCACCATTTGGAACGATTTTGGCAATTTTCAAAACAATAAAATTCGCTAAAAATTCTGTTGAATTCTTAAAAATACCGAATGTAGCCGTTATATTAGTGTCTATACGACGACGTGGACCTGCATATGCAACTTTTGTCATAAACCATTACAATATTCAAATGCGAAACTCGAATAAAAAAAATTCGGTGAATAATATCGCTAAAATTAAAGTACCGAATATCGGTACCGTTTTATGGGGGCTATATGAATACGTGGACCTGCACAGATAATTTTCTGTCATAGGCTGTAGTATCCATTACGAACTTCAAATACCAAATTTAAAACAATTCCGGTGAATAATATCGTCAAAATACCGAATATCGGTAGGTACCGTTAAATTGGGCTATACCAAAAGTCCTGCAGACATAGTATACATTTGAGTAAAATTTTATCAATCTACTTCATTTAGTTCGGAAGCTAGAGTGATTTCCACAGATGGAAAATATTACAGTTTACATATGTAAAGGGTAATATTACAGTTTTTTTATTCTATATTCGATAGTAGAGAATAAATTCTTGTTATACCAGTTTGCAGAAAGTGGGATATTATTAGTTATACAAAAGGGAAATATTACAGTTTTGTTTAGTGAAGACAAGACCCAACGCATCTCTTCTACTATATATCGCAAGGTGGCGCTGATAGTATTTAATAATGTGGTGACCTTCTTAATCATTGTTGGATTCACAAAAGTGTGATAAAATGAAGTGTATGTTTAAAAACGTATGATGTATTAAAATAGGTTGTCATAGGAGTTGATTTTAAATAACTCCTGAGAATATCGCCAGGGAAAAGCAAACAACGCTGATGAGGATTGGTGGATCTTCCAGCTCATCCTTTGATAAAAATTCTAATTTGTATCCACTAATTATTATTATAATTTTCTTTTATAAATTTATTATTTAAATATTTAAGAACAGCAAAAAAGTAAATTCCTTTTATGAAATAAGGAAGTGTAATATTCATTTTTTAATTATTGGAAATCCAAATAGAGAGAGATGAAAAAAACTGTAACCAATTTCAGACTGCTGTCATTTCTAAGCTGTTAAAATTATTCCAGTGACAGCCCATAATACTGTTTATACGCGTAAAAAACATTTTGGTAAGAATTTTTTAGAAAAAAAGTTATTCGTGATGGAATTCAAGCGTGGTAGTGTGATTTCTTTATATTTGGCTGAAAAACCACAAGTGACTATCGTTAGAGAACTCCAGCATTTAAATGTGAATAAATCTTTTGTGTCCCGTACCATCGCTCATTACCGTGATACTGGTAGCGTAGCCCGACGTCAAGGAAGTGGAGGGAAGAAAACAGAAACACCAACATCAGCAGAAATGGTTCGAAAAGTAAAGAAGCGACTTAGTTGAAACCCGCGTCGCAGTGGCCGAAAAATGGCTCGTGAGCTGAACATATTGCAATATTCCATTTGACAAATATTGAAAAATGAGCTCGGCATAAAGCCGTGCAAGAACATACACCGCAACAGAAAGGAAATAGACTCAAAAGAGCTAAAGGGTTGCTTCGCTTGGCCGAAAGTGGTGAACTTTCCGATGAGAAAACATTCGTCGTCCAGCAGTTTCTAAACAAACAAAATGATCGTGTTTACTTGCCAAAGAGATCTGCTGAAAATGTGCACCTTCGGTTGGCCACCAGAACTCAAGCGCCGGCCATGATGATGGTGTGGGTCGCCATAATGGTCGCTCTCCGCTCGCATTAATTGACCGTGGATTCAGAATAAATGCCGAATATTATCGCTAAAATATTCTGGAGGGTGTATCAGAGCCTAAGACAAGCAAACATTTTGGCCGCAGACCTTAGACATTCCATCAGAACTCAGCACCATCGCACTCATTACGCGCCACCCAAGAATGGTTACAAAATGAGGTTAATCATTTCATTTCCAGCGCGCAATGGCCACCAAAATCTCCGGATAATAATCCGTTGGACTATTGTGTCTGGAGTATTTTGGAAAGCAAGGTTGGTACTAAAAAGTGTCGATCACCTTAAACAAGCGCTTCGGCGGGAATGGACCTAAATACCGCAAGAGCAATATTCGGGCAGCGTGTGACGTTTGAAGGCCATAATTCGTGCCAAAGGTCACAAATTCGAAAAAATCTAAACTTACTCTAAACTTTGATGCTATTTCCGATATTTTTTGCTTTCATTCAATAAAATTAAAAAAATGTAAAAATTATTGCGTTTTACTTTGTTGCAGTTTTTTTATCTCACCATGTATACCAATTCTTAAGCTAATGTCTTGTTGACATCATCCCTTTATTTACATGAAATAATTTAGACTCGTGTAGAATTGAACGTTATCTAGACTTCTCAATACATTATTCCATTTTATCAAGCTATTTTCACTTCCTGTACTCAATGTATGTGCGCCTTTTCTATATCTTTTTCTATGAATCCGTTTTCTTTATAGTTATTGCCTCAATACAATATTTCAAAAAAACGAAAAACTTTAGCCAATAAACCTCAACACAAATATAGTTTTATGAGCTCGTGTTGCTCCTACAAATTTCCAAATAATTTAAATATTTCAACAATAAACAGAATATTGAGGAAGGGAAATATTTTTTCGTTTCTCAGGAATTGTGACAAACAACAATTTTATGAAAATATGTAGCCAGTCTCCAATGAAATGTTCCATTTCATTTACAATAAGTTACAATTGTTTCTAGGAATTTTGTTGTGAAATTGTATTTCGTGATTTAAATGAAACACGTTTTACACATTTTAGCTATGTTTCTAGCGAAAGAGGGTGTGTGCATCCGCAAAAGCTTTAGTAGAGTGAAGAGGGGGCGTAAACGTCAAAGAATTAAATTGGTTTTGTAAATGACTTTGGGCAAATTGATTTTGTGCCGTTTTTTTTTTATTAAATTTGCCTAGATTTGTTATTGGCAGGGTGGGAGAAAGAAAGAGTGAGCCTAAGAGTATGCATCGAATTTTTTTCGAGAGCCAAAAACATTGTATGTATTTGAAATATGATATGTTTCCGGGATAGTATATGGAATTGTCAGAGATGTGTTATGAATTTATAAAATAATTTTATAAATCCCTTTTTTCGACGTTATATATTGTATTTGCATGGATTTCCTTTCAGGAACAGGTTAAAAGTAGACATTAATTAAAATAACCTGAATCTCATGAATATATTTTTATACTTTCTTAAATTCTGTTAAAAACATTTCTAGATGTTTTTGGGGAAAGCTAATTAAAGATGAAACGTTTCGAATTCCAAAAAATTTTAAAAAAAGTTTGAAATGCTTTTCGGGATAATAATATATTGAAATAATTGTGAAAACAACTTTTATAGTGTCCTTTGGAAAACTAGAACATATTTCGTGTCAAATAAACATTTTTGATTAAAGCCTTAATATTTCTTTTGAAATTTCATAAACATTTTGAAGTATTAACTTCTATCAAATGAAAAAGAAGCCAAGTTCGGCCGGGTCGAACTTTTAACATCCTCCACCATTTTTAGTTTGAAAAATTTCCAAAAATACCGCTCAAAGGAAACACGTTATCCATTACCAACTTGAAATACGAAATTTGAAACAATTCCGGTCAACAATGTCGCTATTATCATTAAAATACCGAATAAAGGGAGGTGTTGTTATATGTGGGCGATATGAAGACAATAACCCACATAGATAATTTTCCGTCGTAGTCTCTAATACCCATTACAAATTTTAAATACGAACTTTGAAACAATTCCGGTGAACAATATCCCTAAAACCATTAAAAATCCGAATAAAGGGAGGTACCGTTGTATACGATATCGTGGATCAATTTAGAGAATCCAATTTGAGGGAGTAAAGTGCTCCAAAGGAGCTTCTCATGTTAATTTTCAGACAACTTCATTGGAAAATGTGCCCAAAAACATGGAAATAC